GGGAGGAAGCGGAAAGCCTCCAAGTCCTGCCTGGTGTGTATGGCCTCTTACTGTGAGCAGCACCTTCAGCCTCACTACAACGTAGTTCCTTTAAAGAAACACAAACTCATCGATGCCACTTCAAAGCTTCAGGAGAACATCTGCCCTCACCATGATGAGGTGATGAAAATCTTCTGCCGCACTGATCAGCAGTGTATCTGTTATCTCTGCTTAATTGATGAACACAAAGACCATGTCACAGTGTCAGCTGCAGCAGAAAGAGTTGAGAAACAAAAAGAGCTTGAAACAAATCGACAAAATGTCCAACAGAGAATCCAGAACAGACGGAAAGATGTGAAGGTGCTTCAAGAGCAAGTTGAGGCTATCAGTCTTTCTTCGGATAATGTTTTGAGGCAAAGTGCAAAGATGTTCCAAGATTTGATCAGTCTCATTGAGAAAAAAAGCTCTGAGGTGAAGCAGAAGATCAAATCCAAGCAAAAATTTGAACAGAACAGAGTCAAAGAGCTTCAGGAGAAAATAGAGCAGGAGAGACACTGAACTGCAGCAGCTCTCACTAACAGAAAACACAGGCCACATCTCCAGGTCCAGCAAAGGCATGATCAGATGAAGCTGTCGGATGCTCTGCTGTCTTTAAGTCTTCCATTAACTAACCAAAAATCGTGTTCTTCACCAGGACAGGTCTTGGTGTGAAAGTCTGTCTGCACTGAGGGCAGCTGTGTGTTTCCTTCTCATCCCAGCAGTTTTTGCATGCATGGTTACGTATTTTATGACAGAGCTATGATTTGTTTCATGTCTGATTTGAGCAGAAATCCTTCAGCTTTGAGTTTATGTATCAAAGCCCGGGAGGAGAAATTGTTGGGAAGCTAAATATCAGCATTTCACTATGTACGTAAGCAAAAATAAGAAATCTTGAAATCTTGATGATGATCTTTCCACTCATTATGTGTTTATACATGACTCAGCATTTAACCATGAGATTACATTAATCTCTGGCTCTCTTCCACAGTGTGTCTTTTGTACTGTCTTTCTCCCTTCACCTCCAGTCGGCCGCCCCTCAACATGCCTGGCTCTGCTGGAAGTTTCTTCTTGTTAAAAGGGAGCTTTTCCTTCCCACTGTCACCAAACTGCTTGTTCATAGGGTGCTTTCTGGTTTTTGGGCTTTCCCTGTTTTCTCTGTGTTATTGTAGAGTATAATGCACCTTGAGGCAACTGTTGTTATGATTTGGTGCTATATATAAAAACGGAATTGAATTACAATGGAATTGAATTTAAAAAACTGTTTTCCTTTAAAAGTTTAGGTTTATAAAATAATTAAAGCTACATGAATAATCTTATACATTAAAACTGCTAAATATTTAATTTCTCTGGGATAAAAATAACTATATATCAGTGATTTCTCTTGTACATGATTTTGTTATATAACAAACTTTGTTGGCTAAATATTGCTGACTTTACTCTACGATAATTACATCAAACAAAAAGACGAGAATTACTCTACAGTTATATCAAATAAATCACTATATTTTACATATAACAGTTTTTTCTCCTCAAATACAGCGATAGTTTTTTTTTTATGATAAATCTTTTTTTTTTTTTTTTACATTTTGCAACCAACTGGTATTTCTCACATAGTATGTACACTCAACAAAAATATAAACGCAACACCTTTGTTACTGCTCCCATTCCCCATGGGATGGACGTAGAGACCTAAAATTCAT